ATTCCCTATCAAATTTTCTATAAAAAACATATATAACAACTTAATATTCCTTTGTCCTTCCTAAAAATATTAAGGAAAACGTAAAAGCTGAAAACGTAAAAACCAAATTCGCAGCACAGTAGAAGTTACGGTTGCGCAATCGGAGGGTGAAATTTGAGAGTTTACGTAATCCGACTTTACGTAATCTACCGAAATCTGTCTTCTACATATTGGGAGTACAAATAAGTCTCCGCCGTTTGACAAAAGATGGCCCCACCAGTAAGTTATGGTTGAAATTGTCAGATGTAAAACGTCATATCGTAAGGTTGGACATCTGGCAACATCATAACCTTGAAATATTAGCGATTTTGTATCAGCATCACATAATTTTTTTCGTGCAAAAATGTCGAGTTTTAAGCCGAATAAGCGTCATTTGCGGGAACTTTTGATTTACTTCTTTAATTTGAAGAAATCTGCAGCTGAGGCGTATCGATTGCTTGTAGAAGTATATGGTGAGGCTGCTTTAAGTGAGAGAAGCTGTCGTGAGTGGTTTCAAAAGTTTAAGAACGGTGAGTTTGACGTCGAAGACAAAGAACGTAGCGGAAGGCCGAAAGTGTACGAAGACGCGGAATTGGAAGCATTATTGGAGGAAGATTCGTGCCAAACGCAAGAAAAACTTGCACTTACATTAGGAGTGACTCAACAAGCAATTTCACATCGTTGGAAAATCGTTGGAAATGATTCAAAAGCAAGGAAATTAGGTTCCACATGAACTGGAGCCGAGAAACGTTGAATGCCGATTTTGCATATGTGAAATGCTGCTTGCCAGATATAAACGAAAGGATTTTTTGCATCGTATAGTCACTGGTGATGAAAAATGGATCCACTACGATAACCCAAAAAAGAGGAAATCATGGGGACCACGTGGCCATGCTTCAACATCGACAGCCAAGCCGAATATTCATGGAAAAAAACTCATGTTATGTATTTGGTGGGATCAGCTTGGTGTCGTGTATTATGAGTTGCTCAAACCGAACGAAACCATTACTGGGGCTCTCTACCGAACACAATTTATGAGATTGAGCCGAGCACTCAAGGAAAAACGCGCCCACTACTACTCCAGACACGACAAAATTATTCTCCTGCATGATAATGCTCGTCCACATGTTGCGGCACCGGTCAAAACCTACTTGGAAACACTCAATTAGGAAGTTTTACCCCACCCGCCGTATTCACCAGACATTGCTCCCTCTGACTATCACTTGTTTCGATCGATGACGCACGGCCTGTCTGAGCAGCACTTCACATCATAAGAAGATACCAAAAATTGGGTCGATTTGTGGATAGCCTCAAAAGATGAAGCGTTCTTCCGACGCGGTATCCGTATGCTGCCAGAAATTTGGGAAAAAATAGTGGCTAGCGATGGACAATACTTTGAATAAAACATAAGGTACCGTTCTTTCACAATAAATGCCCAATTTTTTATAAAAAACGGCGGAGACTTATTTGTACTCCCAATAGATACCACTAGTATAGTTACTAGAATGTTCCATGAATTATGCGCCTTAAAGGATTAATTAGTTCGACAAGTAAATATCTTCTAAAACAAGATCTTCTAAAACAACAATATTTTTGTTTGAAATATTTACCTAAAGAAAAAAATTTCTCTATTATAACCTTACTCAATCGTGTTTACAAATAATATATTTAAAATAGACAAGGTATTCATAAAGAATCATATTCTAACAAATATCTCACGACGATTGATTATATGACAACTGTACTCAATTATAATGAAGTATATTACAAATCATGTATTTAAAAAAATCTTTGTGATGCACTATAGCTATAATTGTAGATTAATATAATCCGGTGAATCATTATCAGTTTATAACTATAATTTTCATTAAGTGTCATTAATAGATTAATATCCAAATAATATCTAAACAACAAATTGTCTCTTATATTTCTAATTGAGAAATTCTATAGTTATATACGCACATTATCATTGTAATTATATATCATCATAAAAAATCACATATTATCATAACAAAATAACATACAAAAACTTTACAAAAAGTTAGTACTATGAATCCAAAGATGTAGAAAGATGTCTAAAATAGAGCTCGGCAGGCGTTGCATATTTCGATTAATTTTCGACTATTCTCCTTACCTTATCGTCCTACGCGCAACCAATAAGCCATTTAAGAGCATGACTTATATACATATACTTAATAATTGAAAAATTAGAAACATATGTTCACAAGTCATCTACTCCTTAGTCTCGAGCGGCTCGTTGGTTATATGCGCAATAAAGTAAGGAAAATAACACTAGATAGAGCAAGTCGAAATATGCAACGCGCGTCAAGCTCTGATCTTTTCCTGTATGGTACACAAGGTTAACAATTAAGTATGAATATTTGAAGAAACTAAATAGCGGTAGACAAATAACGAGAAGTTAATTAAGTTAAATATATTAGATGTTATATAGCTATTCGTAATAAATTCAATATTTATTTTTATATTCGGATCACGTATATACTAATATATCCACAATAGTCTTGTGGATAATCATGGAAAAATGGAAGAAGATAAAATAAATTTAAAGCGAAGAAATATATGCCTAAAATTCCTACAAAGTATATCAAAATAAAAAGATATATCTAAAACATAAAATTTGCAATCAATTAAATACTTCTGGAATAGTGTTCTCCAAACACTTATCTTTCGCTCTAACAAACAATAAATAACATAAAATTAACGTAAAAATAATGAGGTAAATGCTGGTTAAAAAGACAAGTTGTACATCACATTAATTTTACTGTTATTTTATTGATTACCAGGATAGAACGAAAATGTTCGAAATATTTTGGAAATGTGCTTAATCAATTACTGTTTTTTGAACCTTATTATTTTGACGTACTTTGTAAGAATTTTGACCATACTTGCTTGATGTTATTAATCAAGAATTTCGCAATGAGTAACCAATGCTGCTGATTCTGTAACTCGTTATTGCAGTTAGCAGTTTCGTTATCGTTGTATAGTATCTTTTTCGTATTGTAGAAAAGCTATACAACGATAACGAGAGAGTCATTAACTGCAATAACGAGTTATCAGAATCACACCACAAAAATCTTAAGATAAAGTTTGATAATACAGTACTCTCTCGATAACTTTCCGCCTAAAGGGCTATAAAGGTAGAAAATTCTTGGAAACGGAAAGTTACCGAAAGCCCCTTCTTCTAACGCCGCATGTATGTCAGCTCGTGATTAGCTGATAGGCAAAAGTCTTGGCCATTGAAAAGTAAGATGAACTAACTGCGTTAATCTCTAACATAACCTTCCATTATTATTCAGCTATATTCCAATTATCGACCTATAGTATAGACTGCGCTATCCCTTTGTTCGCATATGAAACAGGGTCCAGAGACTGAGTGAGATAGCACATGGTCGCAGACTATCTCTGTCTCTTTCGATGAATATGATTTGTCCTGACTAGAAAAAGATATATATTGACCGCGGACTTATATTGTCCTTCTTCCGCACTTTCAACTAGCGTTGCACAGTCCATTCTATAGGTCGATGGTCCCAATATTACGCCTATCTGCGCTAATGTCGATATGGTGGAAACGTGATATTAGTATTAGTGATCATACGTGCAGAGGAGAAGTAGTTTGTGTAGAAAGTTATCGAGAGAGTACTGACCACAATAATTTTACAATAAATATATAAGTTTGACATTAAATTTAACAATAAGTTAAGTTTTGAGTTTGACATTAAGTTTAACAATAAATACAAAGAAAAGTGTTGCCAAACCAAATTGCCTTGATCTTCATATATATACAAGATGTCCCGTATAAGAAGAAAAATATAAATAGAATAGATAAAAGTGAAAAAATATTGTAGAGATTTTCCGAACAACCACGTAAAATTTCGAGTTATTAAGGCTCTTGGCTAGTCAGACAAGAAGTCCGCGTTGACGGTGGCGACACAGGTCGGTGGCCATCAGTGGTAGCAATAAGAACTTCGTCCATCGTATGTATAAAGAATTATGTATGTATATGTATATATATATGTGTATGTGTGTAACAGCTACCTAAATTTTTCCACCCGAATCACGGCGTTACTACTGACTGTAGTGCTTACATATCACACATAACACAATTGCGGAAGTGTCAAAATACTCCGAATACTGTGCTTTTTGTAATATTTTAACTATAATAGTACTTATTCTATCATATTCCGTACCGAGTCTCAGCTGATCTTCTGTCAAAATAAACCGATTTTCACACGTATATTTAGCAGTGTTGTAAAGGTTATTTCGGGAAATGAACACTATCCGGAGCATTTTACGAGTGTGTAGGATCGATTACAAGTGTCACTTTGTTAACATATCTTTTTATTTTGCAATGATTCAGGCGCAAAATTCGTGTGCAATTTCTCACTTGGTTGATGTCATCAACCAATATGGCCGCGGTGACTAGCCAGGAGCCTTAAATAAATAGATGGGCAAATCAGAGCGCGCGACGCGGCAAGCGGGACATACGGCTCGCCACAGCCGGCGAAGAAAATGGGCGATTGCTCAGAAAAAAGACAAATATATGACATTCCATCTCTTTTTCTCGCGCACGCGTTATTCTTTTCACAGTGACGATCACGAAGATTGTGGCCCACCTATCTGGCCTATAAAATAGGCCCGCGAGTAATCGTCCATTTTCTTCACCAGCCGCAGCGAGCAGTATGTCCCGCCTGCCGTGTCGCGCTCTGGTTAGCACATCTATTTTATTTAATAACTCGAAATTTTACGTGGTTGTTTGAAAAATGATCTCTACAATATTTTTTCACTTTTATCTGTTCTACTTATATTTTTCTTCTTGGACGTCTTATGGACATCTTATTAACTTATTATCTTATTATCTTATTAACCTTTTAATATTGAGAGTACAAAATCTTGACAAAATTCTAAAACACTTTTTCTTTTGACAAAAAATTTCGGCAAACGCATAATTGTAAAGTTATTACCAAAAATAGTTATCCTATTACAGGCCGGGTTCACAAGATAGACAGAGGCAACTCACTATAACACGTGGGCGCTAATGTCGGGTGCCCCCTATAGTCAGTTCTTCGCCATACAGCTGAAATACGTATAATAAATATTTAATGCTAACGCACGCACGCACGCACGCACGCACGCACGTACGCACGCACGCACAACTTTTATGTATAAGGAAAATGTTTATTAATCAGTACTCGGCTTATTTTCGGTACTTCTGTGTGCATTGTATCAGATATGGAAATGTGCGGGGATTTTAAATAAAATAAATAATTATTGATAAATAAATAAAACTTAAAAAAATTCCTACGTATCTTGATATTAAATCAAACGACACAACGGTATTTTTCATAACATAAATTACGCAAGCAAATGTGCTTTAATTAAATAATAAAAGGGGGAAATTAAGAATTATTAATAAGTCATAATTTTTATTATGGGATACAAGCTCGATTTTCTTTTTTAAAAAATATTTTAGTCTTTAAAAAAAAAATGTATGCCAACATCACCCGGTATTCCCAGGCGGTCACCCATCCAAGTACTAACCGTGCCTAGCATTGTTTGACTTTAGTGATCAGACGAGAATTGGTATTTTTTTTTTTTTTTTAATTTGTTTATTTAGGACCAAAATTACAATTAAACGTATACAATAAGCTTAATAAACAAAACTTTTCAATAACAGGTTTAAATAAATTTGAACAAACTCAAACAAGGCATCTCGCAGATACAGTCTATATACAGTTTATAATAAAAAAACGAAGCGGTAATTAATAACAAAATTAACATGCTGTAAAAACAGCCAAGTAATATTTAACAAAATGAATATATATTACCAGAAAAAAGGTCCAAGAAAAGAGAACTGGTATTTTCAGCGCGATATGGACGTTGACGATGAAAGCTATGCAATTATATGCATATTTTGCATATTTGAAAGAAATTAGTCAATAGCAAAAAAAAGTTCAGATCTGAGCCGGCTCGTTTCGACGTCAATCGACGAGTCATTTCTCACTGGGATTACATAACACACGCGTTATATGACAGTTACATTGTTGAGTGGGAAATTTAACAATGATGTTATGTTACTATTACTTACCCACGTAGCACAAAACACTTACAAAACGCTCATATAGCGTTTTTATAGCAGTAAGACACCTGCAAAAGCGTTTTCTGAGCACTTTGCAAACGCTATTGTGCTACTTGGGTAATGTGTACTGGGATCCTCCTAATTACAAAAGTTGCGTTCCGATATTCATTCCAGTAAGAAATTATCAGTTGAAAAGACGTCGAATAAACGACTGTTTAACCAAAGAGTCTGGTGAAAATATATATCAAAATTTTCATTGATTATACATTTTTGTAGTTCAAATTATACCACTATGAGACGTTTATTTAAACGTCTATTAGCCGCTTACAACACGTTTAAATGTTAAAAAACGCCTATTAGCGGCTTATTAGACATTTATTTCAACACAACTAGCCTACGTACACTCGACAACAGGAAAATCTTAATACACAAATTTATGCAATAAATTTAATAAAGTATAAGACATATTTATTACGTAAATATATAACATTCTTAAATATATGTAACATTCTTAAATTTTTAAATCATAAAAATTCAACGTTATTAAAACTTTATAAAATTATTTCGATACCGCGACTGTCATTCCTTCATTCCTTTCATTTCATGGCATTTAGGCTCCTCTAGGAGACGTAAGACGCTCAATATCAAGGATAAAATTAACACAAAATTTTATTAGGCTTTGACGAATGTTGTCCCGTGCGGTATTTACTGTATAGGGCACGATATTATTATTATTACTGTTGTTATTAATATTATGATTGTTATTATAAATATAAAGTTAAAAATAACATTGAAATAATACATATATATTAATTTCGCGTGTATTATTTTAGTATCATTTTTAACTTTATATTCATAATAATAATAATAATATCATTAACAACAGTAATAATAATAATATCGCAGCCTATATAGTAAATAGTGCACGGGGTAACATTCGCCAAAGCCTGATAAAATTTTGAGCTAATTTCACCTTTGAGATCGAGCATCTTACGTCTCTGAAAGGAGCCTAAAGTGAGATGAGAGGAATGGGGGGATGACAGTCGCAATATCGAAATAATTTTATAAAGTTTTAATAACGTTTGATTCTTATGATTTAAAAATTTAAAAATATTATATGTTTACGTAATAAATATGTCTTATACTTTATTAAATTTATTGCATAAATTTGTGTATTAAGATTTTCCTGTTGCCGAGTAGGCTAACTGTGTTGAAATAAATGTCTAATTAGCCGCTAATAGGCGTTTTCTTAACTTTTAAACGTTTTGTATATATATGTATATAATATATATATATATATATATATATATATATATATATATA